AGTTTTGCTTACATCTGCGTGAAAACTGCCTGATTCGTGTACATGTGCTAGAATCATCGAAACAGTAATTTCTAATGAGCTAGGGTGGGGCATACGCACCCTGATATTTGATACGTCTGCTTAGTAGCTAGGTACTGGGTGGAGTACCAACATTTCTGTTGCTATTAAGTTTTTTTTCTTCACTTTTCTTAAATGAAGAGACAAAATATTTGTGCCAAAATGGTTCAAAGCCCTGACTCATTTTGCTTAGAAGTGCAATTGAATTCTTGTAAAATCTAGGGCATATTAATGCAACTCCAGAAATAAAAAGAAAATCGCTATAACTTCGTATCTAGTACAAATGTTAAACTCAGCTTGAATCTCTAAGTGAGTCAGCCTTATAGCAGACGAAATACGATTGCATTCAGCTGCCTGTGGCCCCGTCATCAAATGACGGGGACCAGTTCGGGGATTGTCCTCCACGGGGTGTTATCATCATGTTATACCTCTGACCAACTGGTAATCTTACAGCTGGTACCTCCGGGGAAATCTCTTTCTATCACTCTCTCCAAATCCTTTTTATTATATCTTTACTCTGTCCTGGACATTGAGTTCTACCTGGATTCTTCCTCTTGGAATTTTTATTCAAAAATATACATGTATAGGTATTTATATATTTTGCATATCTATGTATATTTACCACTAATATTATCTATCTATCTATCTATCTATCTATATATATATATATATATATATATATATATATATATATATTATAAATTTACTTATTTAAAAATATGGCTCCCTCTATACAGGGGAATTACCATGTTTCAAAAACAGAAGCTAAAAACTTCAAATTCAATTACAGAATTAAATTAAATTAAAGTCCCTAGTCCTGTTTCATTTTCAAGCCAATTTTGGAATAACTTATTTGGAAATTAACTGAGCTTTATATGCACATACATTCATAAGATTAGTTTCTATTGATGTGAGGAAATCCAATCATTTTAACAAAGAACGTTATGGTATTCTGTTTCACTGAAAACTATTGTATCAAGATATTAGTTACTTTCGAAAAGAAGTTAAGTCAAGGTAGGTTAGAGGTGCCTTTTCAAATGAATGATGACATCCGTTCAACACATGTCGTCTGGTCTTTTTCAACGACAAAAAGGTTTTCGGCACATTTGTTTAGCCGTTAAATTTGTACTTGTATACATAAAGATTTTTTTCTAAATGGGTTGTTTGTATATGAATACGTCGTATTGGACTACAGTTTTAAAATATTTTCTTATTTTTAATAATAGACTATACTTCTTTTAAAACAAATAAATGTAATAGAATTAGTTAAATTATTTAAAAATTATTATTGAAATATCAAATATAAATATGTATATTCATTTAACAGTTTTTATTTTTATTATTATTTATTTATTTATTTTTTAAACATTACTTAAAGAAAATTTTTGACAATGTCGGCATAGAACAGCTATTTCAATTCTTTGATTAAGTAATTTTTTATTTTTTATAAACCTAGTAATATATAGTTCCTCATGTATGCACAAAGGACATGGGTCAGTTAATGCCCAACATAGTCTAGCTTTTTTTAAATTAATTTCCATTTCACAGTAGGTGTTTTATTGGTTTCTTTTAAGTGCCAGAAATATTTCGATAGGGACGTCTGATTTCGGTATTTATTTATTTATGTGTTTGTGTTTGTGTGTATGCGTATATATGTATATATGTGTATGTATATATGTGTGTACATATGTTTATACTAATTCCTTATATTAAGACAGTATATATGTATTGAGAGGGAATATACGTATGCGTACGCATGCTGACAAAAAGACAAAAAATGGCAATAGAACCGGACCAGTCTTAATTGTTTTATTACCTTTCTCGCAGAACTTTTTCACTGCCAGTTCAAGGGAGACATTTGGGTCACTAACACACAAAAAAGAGAATGTCTAATATCGAAAATATTTAACATCGAAAACATAAGAAAGTATAGTTCCTTTTAATAATATGTGGAAATATCCACTCTTTGCCTGATGAAGGTCGCGAGACCGGAAACACGTGTAGCAAAATTATGGAAGATAAAGCATAATATATTTTTTAAAGCTCCACATTACAACCAAAAACGTTTGCGGTTTCTCTCTTCTTTTTGATATACACACCTTTCTCTCGTTGGAACTACTATAACCTATTCCCTTTGTATATATATATATATATATATATATATATATATGCAGTAAATCCCGGCAAACAGGTAAAACTTACATTATATATCAGAAAATGAAAAACCGCTAACCTCTTCGTCACTAATCAAAACAATCCTATTAAATATAAACTAACGATAACTAATATAACTGCAATTTAACTGCCCAATAAATGACTATTGTCTTGTCATAATTCAATTAACTATATTTCGGTCACACCCCGACCTTCTTGGGTAGACACTTCCCATACCACTTATCTGACGAAAATGGCATAAAAAAGGCATTTAGCTACCTACAATCTACAAAAACTCACAAGGAAAATTCTGGTTGATAACACGGTCATCCTTCATAAATTCCGTGTCCAAAAACATCTCACTGTGAGAGAAACAGTCTACATAAAACATCTGCAGTATTAATCTCACTTTATTTAACAACGGAAATAATGTGCTAAAAGTTTGTTTGTTTTTTAATAGGAGGCCAACTTGAATTCCAGACATGACCCTTTCGCGGGGTTCAGAATAAACGCTACTATCATACAATCACCATCACACAATTACATCTTGAAAGATCAAGATTGAAACCATAATAAAGATTGTGTCCCAAGCGCTTTCGGCCATTTCTGTAGCTAACCCCAAACCCCTTGAAAATGGCTACAGAAATGGCCGAAAGCGCTTGGGACAATATAACATTATGGACAATTTTTATATTCCCTTAACCCTACGAAACGTAAAATTTTAAGAATACTAGAAAAAATCAATAAAAAATTAATCAAATTTTCCGATGTGTGTCATATTCAACAAACATATTTCAAAGAAAGTTTGCCTCATAAATAGACAATATACAGGATTTCTCTAAAAAAAACCGTCGTTAATTGTAATTTTACGATCACAGATTAAACTTGGTTTTGTCGAATGAAGAAAAATTTGAGTTCTTTTTGCTGGTATACTAAATGAGAAAATGTACTCAAAGAAAATCACAGATGCAACACACTTGATTGAACGCATGAAAGAATGAATTTGCTAACATTGACGACAATGTGGAATTATGGCATCGAGTTCACGTGAATTTTGGTAAAGTGCATCAAACCTTTGTATTGCAAATGATGCAAGTTATATTGAAGATGTTATCTGTTAACATTCCAATTGAATAAAATGTTGTTGACCATTTCATTTCTTGAAAATATGCAGACTTTAGGGACAACATATATATATATATATATATATATATATATATATATATATATATATATATATAACGATATATATATATATATATATATATATATATATATGTGTGTGTGTGTGTATAGGAACAACGTATATATGTATATATATATATATATATATATATATATATATGATAAACAATAAAGTTCCAAGTCACCTCATACAAGCTGATTCTTGGAATTTATTTTTTTGAATTATTTGCTCTGTAATAATAAATGCATTGAGCTCTGTTTTAATATTTTCTATTACTAGAATCCACTTAGATTATTGTTACCTTTAATATATATATATATATATATATATATATATATATATATATTACCATGAAAAAGTCTTCGAACTTTTTAGATTATTGTAAATTTCTAACAATTGCGGTTGTTTTCTATTGTGCTTTTTACATATGAAATTTTAGACATATTGCAGTCATTTTCACACTTAATTATCATATTTTTAGAAATTGTTCTCGATAAGGGGAGAACTTGGAAGAAACCCCAAAAATGTTGGCGCAAAAAATTTCGGACACGTCAGGTAAACCGAGTCGTATTCAACGATTTAAATGAATGATGAAACAAATAATATCATTACAATGATTCATATCGGACATCTTAACTGGTGAGAAATCTTGAATCTCTCACTTGACTCCTATGAGTATTAAACGATATTTCTGATAATAATCACACACACACATACTCACACCCAATATATCTATGCAGACATACTTCAATACACACACACACACACACACACACACACACACACACACACACACATATATATATATATATATATATATATATATATATATATATATAGTGTATGATAATAATATAGTTTTAAGGAGTGCTATATCCATGGTAAATGTGACTAGCGTATATAAATATAAAAGTGGACACTGAGGTCAACACCGAGCGGTGACAGTCTGTTTTATGCTTGAACGCATTATTCAGATAATGTGCTTTACACATGGCCTAAAGACAGCGTTCAATTATGAAACAGACTGTTGCCACTCGGTGTTGACCTCAGTGTCCACTTATATATATATATATATATATATATATATATATATATATATATATATATATATATATATATATATCAGTGTGTGTATATATACATCCGCCATGAGAGAATCTATTTATAACATCAATCAGTTTAGTGACAAGCTCATATTTATACACACACACACACACACATATATATATAGTTATAATTAATTGATTTAAAATATGTTTTTTTTCCGTTACACAGTTCTAACCATGTTTGAAACATGGTTAGAACTGTGTAGCGAAAACATATTTTAAATCAATTAATTTTATAATATTAATGCTCTGTGAATTTACATTGAGCACTATTTTGTAAAAATAAAATATCTATAAGAACACCAGATTTATATATCTTACTG